GGGGATGTAATCATTACATGGGAGGGGGATCACATGGGGGAGGGGGTGTAATCATCAAACTGGGAGGGGTCATCATCATTACATGGGAGGGGCATCACATGGGGGGAGGGGATGTAATCATCACACTGGGAGGGGCATCACATGGGGGGAGGGGATGTAATCATCACACTGGCAGGGGGTTGTCATGACACTTCTACTCACCCGAACATGCCAGTGATCGCTCCTCCTTTATGTGTCCAACCATCAGAGCCAGTCCCTGCATGGAAGAGACATGAGGTCAGATAGAAGGATAAGTATGGAAGGAGTCCTATGGATGGACATGACGGTGTGGGACACTATGTACACACAGCGATTATACAGGAAGGAGTCCTATGGATGGACATGACGGTGTGGGACACTATGTACCCCCAACTATGGGCCGGAAGGGAGCAGGAAGCCTCGCTCACTAACTCCCTCTGACAGTGTTTATATCAGATTCTTCCTTTCTTTTACCCTTTCCGCTGCCGCCATCTTGCTCCGCCCCGGAAGCATTCAGCAGCACTTCCGGTCCTCCTCCTGACACCATTTCCTGTTTGCGTTCCAGTTGGCTGTACACAGGCTGCGCAGGGAGAACGAGACATCACGTGATACCGTATGAAGAGCGACACCTTGTGGCCATAGCGGAAAATAGCCGTACAGCCTCTAATAATAATAATATGTCTGAACACAAGTACTGTACTGACTCCACCAACAATAAAGAAATATCATAATGAAAGGAAAATATTCCCCTGTCATCCCGGAGGCGGCAAGAAATGAGCATGTGCCACTTCCCCTCTGGTCATATGATAGGGGGCGTGTCTACTTATATCCAATCAGACATATTTTTAACCTTCCATGTCTCCGCCTTCGGTCTACGACAAAATGGCGGCAGATGACTGAGCCTGAGAAAAGATTAGAAATGGAGGAAAACGTGATTTCTCCGGGTAAGAAAACGACAAGTCCCCCTTCCCAATACATGGAGAATTGTCTACATGACGTCACAACCATGAGCTCATTTATTACTGAGCCCCATCCAACACATAGACCATAGCCTGACATTGAGGGTCCCCCTGGCCGACCCATCAATCAACCAAATTTCCTCATCCCCTCCCTTATCCTCCTGACCAACCATCCCCTCCCTT